ATATATATATATAGAGAGAGAGAGAGAGAGAGAGAGAGAGAATTGTTTTCCAATTAAGAAATAAAATACAGGTTTAGGAGCTGGAAAAATAATAAGAAGAAGAGAGAACAATGTCAAATTTACCGTCCCTCCCATAGACGCTGCATTAGAAACACCCTCGCATTAGCGTTAACTGTTTTTTTGTAATTTGATGCAAAGGTGATATAATACAAAGAATAGTGTTATAAATGTACATACATTTTTAAAAAAAAGTACAAATATGAAAACATTTCGAGGATTTACGATGCTGATGACGGTTAAACGCGTCCTCACAGTCTTGTGAAAAGGGTCCATATAAAACCAAAAATCAATGCAGAAAGCCCAGCTCATAGCGGTGGGCTGTTTCCTGCGTTTAGTGGGGGCTTTCAGAGTGTTTAAACCATTATGAGACTCTGATATCATCAATGGGCACATTAATCTTCTCTCGGAGGATTCACGAGGGGTTGCCAGGTGACCCAGCTGTACAGCCTGACAACAAATACTCCCTGGCCTCTTCCAAGAAGCACTAATCTCCTGTAGCCTAGTAACACCTCTTGTTTCCTCCACCTCATAAAGCCTAAATAAACCTATATATCCGCTCCATTTCAAGTTAATGGCAGCACTACCAGCTGATTGAAATTAAATGGTTGGATCGTGGAAATACTAGAGTTAATGTGGGTGTATGACATTATGAATTATGCTCCTATAAATGCACAACCTTATAGATCATTATGCTAATGATCTCATGTCAGAGCCTGTAACGCAGATGTCTGCACTGCATGTTCCTTTTACTGTTCCAATACATTCTGCACTAAAATAAAACATGGATGTGCATAAAAGGAAAGAAAAATCGTTGTAATTCATTGAAATGTGAAATAATTTTGACTAGTTTAATGACTAATATGGATGGGAATTAAGACCCATTTTAAAAGAAAAAAAATATATGAAATTGAAAGCTTTTCAAGCGTGAATAGTTCTTGCTGGTTGCACGCAGCAACAAAAAGCACAACTAGTGTGTGGACCATTCACAAACAAATGACTTCAATGAGTTGATTCTTGTGATTCGGGTAAAAAAAAAAATTCATAAACTTGTGCTCTGTCAGGTTGAATCATTCGAATGACTCACTGAATCAATCAGAACAGTTCTTCACTTATTCACTGAACTAAAAGTCAGTTGTATAACAAATAAAGTGCTTCCTCAAAAGTACTAAAACAATCAATAATGGAATCATTAATGAACTGACTCATTAAGTGGAATCTGCATCAGAACCAGAATGAAATTGAATGGCAGGGTTATTATAGTTAACAAACTATTTCCATTACTTTAAATAAAATAAACATTAAATGAAATAAAATAAAATATTACCAAATATATATATATTTTTTAGCTAGTTCAATGTAAAGTAACATTTCCAATGTTCATTTAGTTTAACTTAATGTTCTAAAATAACAAACTGAAAATTAATTTAAAAAAAAACTGTATAGACATTTAAAAAACAAAACTATTACTAATAAAAATGACAAAAATACACATCAAAATGGTGAATGTTAAGATGTTTGTCTATGCAATAATTGTAAATGATATGAATAAAATGTATTTAGTCGAGATATATACTATATATGTGCTTTCTCTGTTTTATGCATTGTTTAAGTCTAATTAATTTTTAAATGAATAATATAAATATTGGAATGTAAGAAGTAGAGAATTAATTTGTCTCAGTATTTTTTACTATGATGATTATTAATCAGTTCAAAACTAACTGAACTGAAGTTTTAAAATAATTATATAATAACCTTTTATATATAAAATTATATATTATATAATAACCGTTTTGAGGTTTATTATTATTATTACTGAAATAATCATTATTATTTACAGAATCATTATTGTAATATTTAAATAACGGAATCATTAAATGAATGTAAATGAGAATCAGAATGAATCCATCCAAATGTTTTAGGGTATTTATTTTGCTGCATTACCTGCAATGGAGAGCACTGCATCAAAGCAGCCGTCTCTGTAGGGTAAACGCAGGCCATCGCAAAGCTGCACCTCGTGACCTCGACTCCACGCAGAGTCCACCAACGGCCGACACACGTCACAGCCCAACTTAAAGATATCCTCATTGATGTGCAGATATTTGCCATTTCCACATCCTGCAATAATTAAAAAAGTATTCAGTGCATGTCATAGAAATGAATCAAAAACATAAAATAGTTTTTCCCTCATGGATGATTCACTGGGTTGTTTTTCCAGTGTCGTACTGTAATAACTTTGGTGCCCATTCATCCTTATTAAACTTTAATATGAATAATTGCATTTCCTTTCAAACAGCGCTCCTGTCTGCTAAGTCTGTATGTGATAACGGGCCATTAAGTTTTTCCAGGCAAAAGAATAAAGACAAGATTACATGTGTTTCTTTTCAGCCATAGTACACAATGATTGTTTACAAAGAAAGCGTGACTTTGACACTAGTAAAAGCATATTGATCTTGCTGTTCTGAGAGTTTTATTTCTCGCTTGAGAGACATTAAAGACAGAATGCGAAGCCTTACCGACATCCACCACGATGCTGCCGGGCTCCTGCTCTAGCAGGAACTGTTTGACCTTGGGCCAAGCTTTGTAGCGGCTGTCGTTGAAGTAGGGTGCGATTCTCTCGTACACGCTGTGAACATGGTCTCTCTCCAGGTGGCTGGCAGCCTCGTCCATGCTGCTCTCTATTAAACCCCACAGAGCATCTTCACCACTTAGCCAGACAGAGAGGGAGGAGGAGAGACACGAAATGAGACCTAAAGATTGAGTCGCCCTCTGCTTAATGCTTTGGTTTCACAGCCATTTCTAAAAAAAAATGAATTCAATACGACATTTTGATTGGTTGCTTCTATACAGCAGTACGAGCCTGGAGGATATACAGTCAGGTCCATATATATTTGGACACTGACACAATTTTCATAAATTTGGCTCTGTATGCCACCAGAGTAGAATTAAAACGAAACAATCAAGATCGTCACACGCGGCGGCGGCCTAGAGTGAGCGGAGGCCGGCGGCTATAGAGTGAGGAACGGCCGGAGGGCTAGAGTGAGCGGAGGCCGGTGAGCTTGAGAACGGCACGGCCAGCGGATTCGACGAAGGAGAGGTCTCTTTGGATTTGAGACTTTAGTCTTTGCAAATTTACAGATCTTCTTTATGCACCAAGAGCTTGTAACACTTCAAAGAGAAAGGAAAAATTGAAATCGCATCATATGACCCCTTTAAGCTTTAATTCAAGGGGATGAACAAAAATATAACATAAAATGCTTGGGAATTACAACCATTTTTATACACAGTCTCCCCATTTTCAGGGGCTCAAATGTAATTGGACAAATAAATATACTAATAAATCAAATGTTCATTTTTAATATTTTTTTGAGAATCCTTTGGAGGCAATTCTTTTTTACCTTCAAAAACTCCTGGGTTGCTTTTGCTGTATGTTTTGGGTCATCACCCATTTGTACTATAAAGCGCAGTCCAATCAACTTTGCTGCATTTGACTGAATCTGGACAGACAGTATATCCCTGTACACTTCAGAATTCTTCCGGCTGCTTCTGTCCTCCGTCACGTCATCACTAAACACCAGTAACCCAGAGCCACTGGAAGCCATGCCCACTCCTGATGCTCCTGCTATCTCTCTAATGGATTTATTTTGTTTTTGAAGCCTAACAATTGTCTGTTTCACTTGTGTGGAGAGCTTCTTTGACTGCCTGATGTGGGTTCACAGCAACAGCTTCCAAATGCAAATGGCACACTTAGAATCAACTCCAGACCTTCTACCTGCTTAATTGAGGAAGAAATAATGAATGAATAGCCCACATCTGTCCATGAAATTGCTTGAGTCAATTGTCCAATTACTTATGGTACTTGAAAAAAAGGGGGGAGGTACATATTAAAGAGCTGTAATTCCTTAACCTTTCCTCCAATTTCGAGTGTGCACTTTAAGCTCATATTCATTAAATAACTGTAAAATGAATACATTTTGGTCAACAGCTAAAATAACAAAAATTGTGCCTTTGTCCAAATATATATGGACCTGACTGTACCTGGGTGAATAACATGAACTGTCAAGAATTGTCATATTTCACCACAAAAAAGGAAGATTTTTTGTTGTCATAATTTCACCTCATTCTAAAAATTAAATAACAAATGTACAACAAATGTACAACAAATCCTGACATTTACCCCTAAAAACGTAACTTTTTAATATATATAAATATCAATATTTATGTAAATTTTATTTCAAATCATTGTAACAGGATTGTTTGGATCATTATGACCAGACAGGATTTAAATTGTGGGGGAAATGTGTTAAAACGTATAAATAATAAAAATGTGCTAAATAAAAATGAATAGAAATAAATTTATAAATATAAAAAATGCTATATTTAACTAAGAATTATATTTAATCTAATAATATTCATCATTTTTATAAATACATTTTGGGCAAAATGTGCTTAATTGTCAAAAATAATTAATAAAATAATCATTTATATTTATGTATTTATATGTATTTAATATATATATAAAAAGTAAAATGTTATATTTTACCTAAACAAGTGGAACATAAATTATTATCCTTATTTTAAAACAATAATGAAAAATAAACATAATTATTCTAAAAAGTATATACAGTGGGTACGGAAAGTATTCAGACCCCCTTAAATTTTTCACTCTTTGTTATATTGCAGCCATTTGCTAAAATCATTTAAGTTATACATACATCATTTAAAACTAATTTTATAAATAATAATTCTAAATAAATAAAAATGTACATGCTTATCACCATGCAAAACATACATTTACATAATATCACCATGCAAAAACAACAACAACATAATAATAATATACGCAATCTCAAGGAAACTAATTGCATATATTCACAATGAGAACTAAATGACTAGCTGAAGCGTTTTTGATGAACTCTTTGTTCGCCTCCTTTTCAAGTAAAATCATTTAGTAAATTGTTGCTCTTCTGCCACTTGACTGCAGCAGCACAGACAGATGAGGTTGTACGCCTCCTCACAGCTGCACATCACTTACCAGATGTCCAGTACAACAGCATCATGCTTCACAATCAACACATGACTGTTCATCATTTCCCACCTTCAAACACACACTACATCTTCCTCAACAGGGATGTCTCAAACAAAGATTTGAAGCAGAAACAGTCGGATATTTCTGTGCTTGTATCACTGCAGACTGCAGCCCGCGCAGCATAATTGAAATGCAGAGTGGACGGCGCTTTTCAAACTGTGCTGCCACCTCTGATCTGTTTTCAAAGCCTCGGCTGTCATATAACTGCTACTCTTGAAACTAAATGCATCAGCTTTACAGGTTTTGCTTTATTTATCTATTTATTGTCAAGTACGTGACCTATAACACCAGATGAATTTGAAAAAGGTGTTGCATTCAGCTGTAAAACTAGATTAATTGCCTTTCAGCAGGTTGAGTTGTTGCGAGTTGAGAACTGAAGTCACGGATCAATAAGAGAACATTTCGAAGCAAATCCACATTCGATGGTGATCTACTCTCCTGCATTTCGGTCAATAATCTCATGGTCCGGCCAGCAAATCGATGTTTCATGTTGGCTGCCAGAAGGGTTTGGACAAGTCTGCAAAGTACGAATGCAATACCGTTTTATCCCATTTTCACTATTACTAAACACATAACCAGAATCTATAAACAGTGGTTTTGGATTGTATAACAAAGCCATTGTGAATAAGCAATTGACCTTTTGGGATATTTCAATGAAAACAAGATTTTCTTGTTATTTCATAATGCCTCAGTGGTTTGGAAATGTAGTCTGCTGACTGTTATGTAAAAACAGAAAGCCCTTCAGCTGAATCACGTTGCCCTAAAGGGGAAACTCCACAGCTGAATCGCAGATGAGCCGTAAGAGACAACACAGCAGCATGTGGGCTGGTCGTATGTGTGCGACTTGACAGAAGTTGTGTGATGTGCAGGCCAAAATAAAGAAATGAATACAGAAATGTACATTTCCAAGCAAGAAGATGGTTGTTTTTGGTAGCATCTTGCACAATAGGTCTTTTAAAGTTCAAATAAAATCAAAACTGCTTCTGTAATGCACTTATTGTGAATGGTTCATTGGTGTAAGTTATCGCAATTAAAAAAAAGAGAGAAAGACATTTAGATTTATATCACTTGTTCACTAATGGATTCTCTTCAGTGAATGGGTGCCATGAAAATGAGTCCAAACAGCTGATAAAAACATGTTTGTAATAAACAAATCCATCATTAAGGTGTTTTTAACTTCAAACCATAGCTTTCACTTCACAGGTCTGCGGATTATTGTGATGTATTTAAATCAGCTGAGTGGCTCTGACTCAGTTCCAATGGAAACGTGGAATAAACGATAAAGACTTTCATTGTTTAGTAATTTATCCGTTGATAGACTTACTACTCCATGCAAGTTTCCCCTAACTGATGCAGCAGATTTAACTTAAATAGCTTTTTTTACATTTAAGCACTGCTTATTAAATAAGAACTTGATAGTATGCAGCAGTGTGTGTGCGTGTGTGTGTGTGTGTGTGTGTGTAAATGATTATGTACAGTATATACACACACACACACACACACACAGACACATTATTACAAATAAATGAAAACACAGTAAAATATTTATATAGGCTATGAACAATATAAAATATAGATTTTTAATACATAGCCTACTTATTAATAAATATTTTTGAAAACAAGCACACATTTTTACATATATAACACGCAAGCATGCAGCATAAAACTGGTTTATATGCATATATAATTGTCTGTGTGTGTTTTGTTATATAAATGTATGTGACAGATGCACTTATACAACATATATACAAACACAAGTGTGCGCAAATGTATATGATCTCAGTTACTTAAATAACAGGAAATACTTGTACATTCATTCATGTTTCTCAGGAAACATTACACTATGAGACACAAGATCCTGCTGATCCTTGATGTTGATGAATAAAGTTTAAAACGCCAACAGAAAGCTTCTTCAGAGATGTAATCTTCATTAAATGAACATGCATTTCACACACTGGCGATACTGTTTATCTTCACGCGCAAACTACACAGAGAACTGTCATTCAACGCGATGCGATACAAATCAATGTATTTCCATTTGAAAGTTTTATCCCATGTTTGTATGCAACACAAGAATTAGCGTCGTATACATCCTATGAATCAAACCTACCTCTCTCAAGCTACCTCTGTCAGTCGCAGAGACATCAAATCCGACGGCAGGCTGTTTCTTTAATTCGCGACATTACATTAATGTCAAAAGTAAAAGACCGCGATAAAACATCGACACCCCACACTGACTGTGTGCAACAGACCGGCTCAAGATGCACACTGGGGATGTGTTAATAAATACATGCTCACTACGCTCGACCCCTAGTCTGGAGTGATGTCCGATTCGCGAACGAATAATTTTTTTGAACCGGTTCTTTTTAATGATTCAGTCGAACCGATTCGCAAATGATTCCTAAATCTCTTAAATGAAAGTTCCCGATTTTTCTCCAGAGTATTTTTGGAAGTATTCTTTGTGTGTGGTAAAAGTAGAAGTAGAGTAAAAATAGAGAGATGGGTAACTGGCGCCTTAAACGCAGCTTGTGGCATGATATAATTCAAGCAGATTGGAAAAAACACATTACAAACTGCATCAGACTGGATGAATAATACAAGTTAATTATTAAACTTAGCCAAAAACGTATTAAATAAACTGTAAATGCCACTTGTGAGACTTATGGGAACACTGTGATGAATCACAGTTCAACAAACCGTCCAAACGAATCGACTCGCTTAAATGAATGTGATATCCCTATGCTAGACGGACGAGTGAATTTGATGAGAGCGCAGGGAACACAGGGCTAGTGTGCGGCGTAACATCCGCCACTCCGATTGGTCGGCACAGTCACGTGACCCCGATACAATGAACACACACTACTGTGACACATGGCAAATGATTGAGGCTAAGCAGGATTTCTATTTACTTAAGGATGATTCAGACTTTTACTACAGCGTGTTATGCGAGACAAAAGAGCAGGGTGTTGATGGTTTAACAAAACCCAACAGTGATTTGTAAAAGCTGTAAAATGACAGATAGATAGATGGTTTTAGGATATTTTATTTATAGATATTAAACATAAATTGATACCTCATTATAAATCATTTCAAGACTACTAACAGTGTGTAAATGGTCGTTAAGAGTTTTTACTTATACCAACACTGAATTGTTTGTCTTATTTCCTATTTCTCATTTGCAGTTGGCACTAAGTAGAGTTCTTTCATAGTGTGGGTGTGTATGAATACATGCAAATTACTGTTCTCCACAAAGCTGTTATAATAGAACAAAAACTGCTTCGTGTTGTTCAGTTGAATGCAGTCTAATGGATTTTGAGTTTTGAAGTAAATGCCACAGCAGCTGGTCAGCAGATGGTGGACCCAAAGAGAGGGCATGAAAAACCATTTTTGCTACATCTTACAAAAATATGTTAAGTGATCATTTAAAACCTAATGTCCTCAAACTTGAAATGATGTATGCAGATTTATAAAGCAACGGCAAGGACGCTGAAAGCATGCAAGATCCACATCCAGTCAGCAGTCATCTGATTTAAAGTGCACTAGAATGGATTGAAACTGCTTTTTGCTGCTTTTGTAAATAATGTATTGGATAAGAAACTGAGCTAGAATTATATAAACCCTCAGATAAATTCCTTTATTGGTTTAAAGTTTCTTAAGATGTTAAGTGGAACTGGATCTTCTGGACAGATTAGAAAGTCCTGAAATGAAAATTGAGGACTGATCATGTAGTTTTTTGTGTGTGTGTGTGTGTGTGGATGTTTGACTATCTTTATTATTAAAAATAACATTTCACACAACTGTATGTGTTACACTTTTCCTAACTATGAATGGCTTAATTTATGCCATTATGCCAATTTAATAATTTAATATTATTAAGTCTTTTCCCATTATTTGAAGACAAAACTAGAAAATAATTCCCCTTTAAGTGCCTAAACGCACTTTAAAAAAATTCATTTTTTTGTTATTCTATTCTCATTTTGACATTACAGTTTATATATCTAAAAGTACTGTAATGGTGGGTAGAAAAAAATTAATTAAATATAATAAAGATAATATTTTACTAAATATAAACCTTAATATATATCAGATAAATGCATATACATGAAAATATACTTCTGCCTTTATATTTTAGAAAGTTCAATCATAATATTTTGAGGCTTTTTGCATCAAAACATTTGAAAACCCCTGGCTAAATGAACACATTACCGATAACAAATATGCAAGTTATTTATACAGAATATTTTATTGGTTCAGCAGACTGAAAAAAACTGATTTGGATGGTGGGGGCGAATCTTCAATTGTTTCCCAACAGCCAATATTAAAAACCAATGCTCTGTACCATCTCCTCCCCGTTTCAAACACTGATAAAATCAATACTGGGCTGTAAAATGTAACAAATACGTGAATTTATCATCAGACCAGTGTTTCTTTTATCTGCAGAGGCACATTTGCACATGCACAACCATATGCGCACAAGAATTACACAAATGAGAAGGGTTAAAAAAGGAAAGAATAAAATGACGAACAAATAAAAAAGGGAACTACAAAATGGTTATTCATGTAGCACAGTACAGAATGATATACAGAAGACACACGGGACACAAACAGTACTGCTAAAAGTTGTTCCGATTTTTTTTTTTCTCCTTTACTTGGACAGATCAGCTGGTGCAATATATTTAAAGCTGGAGGTAAAAGCTATACAAGGTGTCTCCCTAACCTTGGGTGGGGGGAAAGTAAGAGCCCAAAAACTATTTACACTTTCTTTCTCATAAGATTAAGATCACATGGTCGGCACACATAACAATGGAATACAAACCACGAGTCATGGTGGATAGGTGAGGCAGAAGCATACGGCAGTAAAAGACGGCAAAATACAGCTGAAGCAGATGCATGGCTCCAAAAAGTCCAAACTTTCACAAGTTCACTCTGTTCATCTGACTTTTTCCTTAAGTATAGCAATCTCCAATCAATCTTGCATTTTGTCTTTGAAAGCACTTATCTTCGGTCTCTTCTCCCCACCTTCCGTCGCACCTACAAAAACATTAGCACATTCTCAGAACTTTCACGATTTCTTACTAATGAATTTATATTATTTTTCTGGACAAGATAAAGACTTAAAAAAAAAAAAAAAAGTAAACTTTTTAAACATTTCTGCATGAAATTATATTTAAATGCATCATTTTCAAGATCTCAGCTGAATTCATTTTTATGCCTTTACATCACTCATGGTTATAAGAAAGATTTTTAAATCCTTCATTCAGTTTTCTTCAACAGATTTCTACATGGAATGCACTTGAATGTATCATTTTCTGCCCAATGAATTTTCATGACCTTCCATCACGATTACTAGATAAAATATATATATATTTTTAAACCTTAATACAACTTTCTGGAGCAGATTTCTAGGTGGAACTAATATTTAAACAATTTTTATTTTTCAATTTATTAGAAATGTAAAGATTTCTGCCCAATTAATTTTTATGACTTATTCATGATTACTTGATAAAGATTGCAATTTTTAAAAATCTTCATATAGACTTCTGGAGCATTCCTCTTGCTCTTCCTCATTTTCTTCATCCGCAGGTGGAGCGGTCTTCCTGCGACCCCTCCTGCCCTTGCTGGGCGTCTCATCCTTTGAGGCTGCTGATTTGGGGGGCCGTCCTCGTCGGCCTCTCTTGGGCGGACTGTTCTGTTCGTCTTCGGTCTCCATGGAGGCCTCTGCCATGCTGCCGTCTTCACCCCACTGGTCCTCGGCATCGTCAGTGCTCGTGTTGGCAGCTTTCTTCCGGCCCCGCTTGGGCTTGGACTCCTGACCCTTGTCGTCCTGGTTGGCTGCAGCACCCCGCTTGCGCCCCCTGCTGGGCTTTTCTGTCTCAGATGGGCTCTTCATTGAAATGTCTTCATTCTCACTGTGGTCCACATCAGCAGATTCCAGCCTGGGTTGAGAAAAGAAATCTAGGTTTAAGCCCATGCAAGACTTACTGGCATGGTGCCAAAGATACTTTGGGTGGTTGTTAGGGTGTCAGTGTAAGTCTAGGGATATTTTTTAGCCTATTATTACTAAACAGTCAACTCTTTTGTCAAAAACAAAAACAAAAAAGAGTTTATTTAATTTTCATTAAGATTCTTAATAAAAAACAACAACTGCACTGACTAAATCTACCAATTATGTACATCATATATTTAATATAATTTAATCATTTAAAATTATTTGTGTGTGTGTGTATATATATATATATATATATATATACATACACACACACACACACACACAAAAAGTTTATTTAATTTTCATTAAGATCCTTAATATTTAAAAACAACTGCACTAACACAATCTACCAATTATGTACTTCATATATTTAATATAATTTAAAATATTAAAAATTATTTTTGTGTGTAATAATATTTTATCTGAATTGCACTAAAAGTAATACAATATTATAATATATCTTTGAAATTAGCAATAAATTAAAAATAAGTTAATAAAGAAATAATATTAATAAAACAAATACTTTTTTATTGCAATGGTGTCAATGTAAGTCTAGGTATATTTTCTAGAATATTCTTGCTAAATAGTCAACTCTTGTGAAGAATAAAATAAAGCTGCAATTTTATACTCACAAAAGTTTACTAAACTTAGAAAATCTACAGCGTACATCATAAATAACAAAAACTTATATGAATAAAAATCATAAAAATAATACTAACACGCATAAAAATCATATAGAAATAAAATTTGTTGATAATAAATTTAAATTAATTAAACTCATATTAATAATTTAATAAAAAAATACAAACAATATATTAAAAAAGAAAGAAAAAAAAAAACTACATTGAGCCATCATTCATGTCCATAGCACATACAGTGCAAGACAAATAACTTTGCATTTAGATTGTTTGTAGAAATGTTTTGAAATCCCAACTACTAATTGAAGCGACAAACTTCAAGTAATTTTTCAGCTGTTTATCTTGGTCACATTATAAAGACACCTACGAGTTTGGCTATTATAAATCTCGAGGGACGGCATGAGTCATCTCAATGCCATCGAGCAGTACATCCCCAGAGCGCTCTTTTGATGTGGCACAGGTAAAAGGAAACAGCAATTATTGTGTTTTCGTGACGCAGATAGATGAAACACTCCATTCAAAAGAATCTCAATGACAGCTATTCAGAAACCAAGCGTCTCTGAGACGACCATCACATGCCTACCCTTCATGCAGGAACGTTGAAAGGCGCTATGATTATTGAGCACAGTGACCTCAAAAGAGCTTGTTTAGCCCACAGTAGGATGTTAATACCAAAGCCAGATTTTGCAGTATGA